CGTTTCTGTATTAATTAATTTTTTTGGTATAGTAAGTATAAATGATACACCTTTGAATAACGGAACAGAATAACGCAAAACAATCAATATATCGACTTTTTTTGGGGGTAGAAGTTTGTCTGGTATTAGGAGTAGTTGAAGTTTGTCCAGTATTAGAAGTAATTGAAGTTTGTCTAGTACTAGGAGTAGTTGAAGTTTGTCCGGTATTAGGAGTAATTGAAGTTCAGTCCCAGTTCACTTTCTTAGATGCTTTGTGAAGTTTTCTTTTATTTGACGATTTTTTCTTGTTTCGGCTCATTTCTATATATCAATAAATTTTTTTACGGTTAAAATAGGAAATTGCAAATCAAAAGTAATTATATATCATATGGTCAAAAGTTACAAATTACCAGTTATTATAAAAATGAAATAAAATTATCTTAAATTTCAATGAGATGAGAAGAAAAGAGAAAGAGAACGTACGAGTTAATGATCAGATGAGTTTTTATAGAATTTATAAGTTTATTATTAAGCTTTTGACAAACTTTCACAGCTGATTTGATAAATAAAAGTTTATTTATCGTGTCTTCTGAACCGAAATTATCATCGATTTTAATTTTTCAACAAAAATGATTTATCAAGTACAATATACACAAGTCGAAAAGTGAAAAATCAGGCATCAATCAGTCACCAATCGGTCACCAATAAGGTACCTGATTGGTGACTGATTGGTGACTGATTGACATTTTCACCAAATACCGTCACCAATCAGGCAGTTTTCTAACTTTGATCCAGTGATCAGAAAAGAATGAAATATAGCTCATTGGAATCGTCTCAACAAGAAGAATCTAATGGTAGTAAAATCGCATCTCTAGAATCAATAGTTAATAAAAAATCAAATAAAATATAAATGATACATTTTTATTTTTATATTTTACTTAATTTCTCATCATGTATTAATCCTAGAAATGCGATTTTACTACCATTAGATTCGTCATATTGAGACGATTCCAATAAGCTATATTTCATCCTTTTCTGATCACTGGTTCAAAAGTTAGCAAACTGCCTGATTGGTGATGGTATTTAGCGAAAATGCCAATCAGACACCAATCGGTCACCAATCAGTTACCAATCAGCTACCTGATTGGTGACTGATTGGTGCCTGATTTTTCACTTTTTGACCTGTAATACTTTTGCAAATTTTAGCCGATTTAATTTATCGAATTGATATCAAAATATTCGATTTAGTACGATCGCAGTTAAATCAATTAATTAATTAAAAATAATTTATCAAGTACAATATACTTTTGCAAATTTTAACCGATTTAATTTATCAAATTGATATCAAAATATTCGATTTAGTACGACCGCAGTTAAATTAATTAATTAATTGAATTGATGTTAAATTTTTACAAATTGTAGTAAAGTTTTAAACGATTATTTGATTTATTGAAGCAATTAACTTCAAAACTCGTCAATTAAAAATGATAAGAAGGAGATCGGTTTCAAGCATTCTTGGCAATCAAAAAAAAAATGAACGTAGACGTTCGTTCCAAAAACCTCGCAAAAAGAAGAAAGTTCCTTGTTATTGCAATAATTGTAATGGAAAATTGGTATTGGAACAAACAAAGCTTCTACATGAGACAGGAGGTGAAACGAATGATTCGAATGAAGATGAATCAAGTGAGGATGAAGCTCTTTCGATAATTCAAGAAACTAGTGAACAAGACATTACCGAAAATATTGAATTACTTCAAGTAAATGTTGACGTTCATCAGACTTTGACATCAGGGTCGGATTTCGGGAAATACACCAAAAGTCAAAGGTTACAAATACCTAGAGACATAGATGTTAATTATTCTTTTTTACCTCAGAGACGCGTAAGATATACAAGCCATCCTATGCCTCAATCAACAAGTTTGAATATCGAATCAGACGTATATAATACTAGCGAACAAAACACTGGGTAGCGAATCAAATAATGAATCTTACAACAAAATTTTTGAAGATTATTCACCTCCTCCGTATCAAGCCAACATGGATGCCAAAGAAAATCTGATCGATGATAATTTTTCATGGATTTTATTGTGAATAATGAACTACCGTATAACATACAATATCCCAGAAATGGCAACCAAATCTTTAATAAAGTTCATGAAAATAGTTCTAAACGAAATCGGTGGTGAAAATTTTAGACCTTTTCCAGATTCTCTTTACCTAGCGAAAAAAGTACTTGGCCTAAAAGACCGATTTCAGAGATTTGTTCCATGTACAAAATGCCACAAACTCTATAATAAACAGGATGTAGAAAACTTTCGTCAAAACGAGAGTTTATCGGTTATGAAATGCCACTATATTGAGTTTCCAAACTCGTCTCGCTGAGGTAAATGCACTTGCGATACACCTTTATCATGACAAATCGATGTTTCAAGAGTTCAAGCCAAATCAATATACCCATTTGCTGGATTTCGACAACAACTTTCTGATAAGTTTTGTCGACCTGAATTCAAGAAATCCCTCTGACATTGGGCAAATTGATCAAATTCGGATAATATTTTATCTGATATTTATGATGGACGAATATGGAAAGAATTCAAAGATGATGATTCATTAAATTTTTTCCGAAATGATGTTGCCAACTCACATCTTGGCTTCATGTTGAATGTTGACTGGTTTCAGCCATTTGATGAAACTAATCATAGTACCAAAGCTATTTATGCAGTTATCTGTAATTTGCCACATAACATACGATTTAAGCGAGAAAACTTGCTGCTCCTTGGAATGTTACTGGGTCCGAATGAAGTGAGTCTACATAAAATTAATCATTACCTTGCACCAATCGTTAATGAGCTAACATCACTCTGGGAAGGGATTATTCTAAATCGAACATACGAGCATCAGTTAGGAAAAAAAATTCGTGCAGCGTTGTTAATGGTATCGTGTGATATACCACTGCGAGAAAAATTTGTGGGCACGTTTCTGCATTGGTTTCTTGCCACTGATGCCAGAAAAAGGCAAATTATGAAAATCATCAGCATAATTTTGCTGGAATGGAAGATATGGAGAATTGGTTTGTTGCCAGGGATTCGAACGAACATCTCCAAAATGCACTTGGCTGGTGACGGTATAATTCAGATGCATCAAGAAAGAGATTCGTTATACAGACTGGAGTAAGATGGTCAGAACTACTTCGCTTACCTTATTTTGACCCAATTCGTTTTACTATCATTGATCCAATGCATTGTCTATTTTTAGGCATTGCAAAATAGATTGTGAAGCGAATTTGAGTTAATCAGGGAATCTTAACTTCAAGTATGCTCAATGAAGTTTAAAAACAAATGAATCGATTTCAAGTTCTGGTCGATTTGGATTGAATTCCTGGCAAAATCGACTGCAGGGAAGGCTTTTCTAACTTCACAGCTGACCAGTGGTGAAATTTTTTCACAATTTATGTCACAGTATCGCTTTAGGAACATCTCTCAGCTAAAGATAGAAAAATTCTGACACATTTTGTCAGAATTTGTTCAATATTGGTAAGTCAGATTATAAAATCCGACATGTTGCAGGAAGGCCATAGACGACTTGTTAAAATAATAAAGCTCATTGAGGTATAATATGGCAGGAATAAAATTACGCTGAATCTACATCTCTCGCTTCATTTGTCTGAATGTTGTCATGATTTCAGCCTATTGTATGCATTCTGGTGTTTTTCATTCGAACGCATGAATGGAATACTCGGTAAGATACACTAGCCTTTATTATTATTATTATTATTATTATTATTATTATTATTATTGGTTTATATTTTCTTTTAAATACAACCCTTAGGATCATTACCGAATAGTAACAGAAAAATTGAACCAGAACTAATGCGTCGATTAATGAATTATATCTGAATCATATATATCATTACTTCTAGCGCTCAGATGAAAGGTCTTGAATTACTCGAAAATCATCCTACCGTTGGATCACTATCAGAAAATGACCAATTCGCTTCAGATGAAATGGAAAGGTTTTGGCTAAATTCAAAAAATATCCAGGAATCTACTGTTACTGGATGCGAAGCGTTCCTGGTGACCTACTTCCAAAAATGTAGTATTATTACAATCGATGCTCGATTTAATGATCGATTATTATATTGCTACATATAGTGTTTCGATCCGTTGCCGGGTTCAACCGGATAAACCCGGATAATTTTTTTTTTTAGGTATCCGGATAATTACGGTTTTTACCCGGATAAATATCTGGATAAAAAATGGTCGGATTGACCCGGAATCCGGATAAAAAATAAAAAAAAATTTTAAAAAAATTTAAATCATAACATTTCATATATTTTCAGATGAGTTAAAATATTATATATGATTTAATTTGATTACTTTAAATATTTTTTTTTATTGTTTTAATTATTTGTTAACCACAAGGAAAAATTTTAAGTTATGTCACAAGATTTGTCACATAATTTGAATTTAATATATTAAATTCGCGGCATTTATTATTGATTTGTTTTCAGATATAATGTGTTCTGTGGGTGGTGTTATTCCATGCTTAACAACAGATCCATCATATTTATAACTTTTTGTACATTTTCTCCATTATCTGATATAAACTGACAATATGCACGTATTTCTCCATTTTCACTTTGTTTTCTAACAAAATATTCCCATACCCAACTCACTTTTGTTTGTGGTTTAGTCATTGTAGTAGTTAGTTTAAAGGGATTTGGATTATTTGATATTTGACTTGTTAATTCAAGTATAGTTAACTTATTTTACTAGCACTTATCATCCTTTATTTTCCAAGTGTCCTAGATAATTTTTTAGGTCATCCTCTTTTTAGTATTAGAGCAATTTCTGTAACTTCATCACTGGACTCTTCATTTTCACTTAGAGTAATATAATCTTGAACGTTACTGTTTTCCATAATTTTATGAATTATTTTCCACTATTCAAAAATATGTTTCAAGTGAAATTACAAAAAAATCCAAGAAAATGATTACAGTATTTATTTATTTTGGTTAGGGCTTAGGACTACATTAACTAACTGTACTTAAATTTATAAATAAAAAAATAAATGCTATAAATAAATTTTTATATCAATCCCACGAAATTTAATTGTCATAAATTTAATAAATGCCATGAATTTAGTAGTTAATTAAATGCCATATATTTAATTAAATAAATGCCACGAATTTAATTAATTAAATGCCACATTAAATTAAATGAATGCCGCGAATTTTATTTATTAAAAATGATCTACAATAAAAAAAATTTAAATAATTTTATCCGGATTTCGGTTTCTACCCGGATATATCCGGATTTTTATCCGAGTCGGATAATCCGGATAGAAACCGGATATTTTTTTTAATTTATCCGGATGACGGTTTCTGCCCGGATCGAAACACTAGCTACATATGAAATGTATAATTTCCAAAAACTATCTGATGCTATAGAGCAAGATGTGATAACTATTCGTGTAAAAATGGATAAATTTGGAAGATGTCGTATTGGATCTGAGGTGTTTGGCTCCGCATTGTCATTTCGACACATAAAAAGTTCATATGTATTAGCTAAATTCATAACGACTGATGGAGAAGTCGATCGTTATCCTGAACAAGTCCAGTATTATTTCAAGCATGAAATTGACTTGCCAAATAGACCTACTGAGCATTATTTGGCTTTTATTAGGTGGTACCGACCAGCAGACACAGCAAATATTCGGTATCATTTTAGTATTGATGATACTGAAGAAACGGAAACATGCAATGTTGAATTATGGAAAACAGATTTTTTTCCTGAAAGTAGGTATTGTATTATTTCAGTACACAACATTCTTTGCCGATTTGTTCCCGCTAAATATAAAATTTCTTCTAACCGCAACGCAACTGAATATTTAGCGATAAATCCATTAAATCGCAAGTTTCACATTCGGTAATTTACTAAAAGCTACAGAATTTTTCTTTATAATAATTGTTTAATGAATTTTATGGAATTGGTTATATATTTAATAATAAATAATACGAATAAATTGATTTACAATAAAATTTGATGAATCTTTAACTTCAGTGTTTTCTTATTTTACTTATATGTCATTATTATTTATTGATATTAATTAAAATTAATTAAAAAATCGGTTAAAAATCATCAAAAAAGTTTTAAGTTGATCGTTGTTATTAATAAAAATTGATAAAAAAGAAGTATTGGTCGATTTATGGTTTTTTTTATGTTACAGCTCAACCAAAAATTGACCAAAAATCGACCAGTTGATTTATGCCGAAATTTTTCCTAATTTTGTAATTAGCCGAATGTGTGAAAAATCATGTGACAATGATGACAAACTTTTGACGAAAGGTATTAATGCCGAAAGAAATGATTTTGACCAGTGCCAGTCACATGAATTTATTTGTTGTTTACCAGTTATCATTATATGTAATACATACGCACTCTCTTTCTTTTCCTTTTTCACTTTCTTTTCCCTTTCTTTTTTTTATTTTTTAAATATTTTAAAAGCTTTAAAAAACTAGATAATATTTAATATTGACTTAGATATGAAGTATTATTTATAAAGTTGTGAATATTTTTCACATTTAACACTTTATTTTTGATAACAGATGTGTTTTTATCTAAAATTTATACCATATAATTTTACAAATAATCTGACTTTTATCAAATAAGCAAAGCTGTTTAACAGGTATAAAACTACTTAGATATTAATTTTCACCAAGCTAGCTTTGATATTTATGAAGTTATACTTATTTTTTGTGATATTTTTGTGCAGATACTTCATGGTGTAATTTAAGTAAAGCTCCACATGAGCCAGCTTGAGCCAAGCCACAGTCTGGCTCAGCTCAGCTTTAAAAAAAAAATTCTGGCCTGAGCCAGAATAAGCTGAGCCATAAAAATTTCAGCTCAAGCTAAAGTGAGCCGAGCTGAGCCATGAAAATCATGGCTTGAGCCAAGTCAGGCTTGAGCTT